AGGGATTTCGTTTGCTATTGTTGAAAGTTATGGCTGATGGTGGATTTAAGATTGATCCTTCCTTTGTCCAGGCTCTAAAGGATCCTAAGCAGCGTTTCATAGGTGAGCATTTCTTTGGTCTCCTTGTGAAGATAATTTGAATTTGTTTCTTGCCTTGTTTATCTAGATTTAATTTAGGTTTGTGGTTTGAAATCTTGTTATCATAATCTTCTGAGTGAAAAACAGATAAATACATTGTTTAAGAAAGATTTAAACTTTTGTTTGATATTTGGAAATGTCTAGCTGGTTTAATTGTTATATCCTATGCCTTTGCTAGATTCTATGGTTGCAAAAAGCGCAAGGGAAAAAAGACGAAAAATTATAGCAGATAAAAAAGCAAAGCGGTGTAGAGCTTATGAAACTAATGTAGTCTCTGTCTCTCCTATTAAAGGTACTGAATCTTGAGTTCTGTGTTAACGCCCCAATTTGAAATGAATTGTCTTTGTGGAGTGTATACATGTGTGTATATCTTTAGAAATCATGTCAACTCTTGATTCCCCAAATTCTCTAATTTGTATATCATATACCTTTTGCCAGAACCTATGGTTACTCAAACTGCAAGGGAAAAAAGACGACAAATTATTGCGGCAAAAAGAGCAATGCGATGTTCAACCTCTAATGCAGTCCTCTCCAACAACGGTAAGAAAATTTGTTTTTGCCTCTGACTTCTGAATTCGAAATGAAATCAGTTTATGCATTGTATACATGTGTGAAGCAGAACATACGATTTAGGGTGCTTATATACTTATACTTCAATCATAACTGAATATTTAGACATATATATTCTACTTAGACCATTTGATGTCATGTCACCCATAGGTTTTGTAGCGAAACGTGTTTAGCAAAATATCCCCAAAGTATTATGTTTTCTTATATAACCCTTTTTTCATACAGTTGAGTAATTTCCATGATACATCAAATCTTCTATATACTTTTGTTATTTCATGATTTATCTGACTGGTACTGACACATTGTTTTCGAAAATAAACAGTTCAAAGCAGTCAACTAACAAAATCCAAAGGTTGCAAAAATTCAGGGTCGAGTGGTGAAAAACATGGTAAGATCATATAGTATTGGATATTTAAGGCAATCAAATTGATCATTGTTGTTTCCTGCAGTACTTATATCAACGCTTCTTTTTTATAGAAGCAAGGGAAGTACCATGGCAGAAACCACAAGGAGATAATTTTCCTACGAATGCCGAAAAGAAATGATTTGTTTGCTATTGCTTTTACTTTCGAGCTATATTGGGAATCTCAATCACTCAAGCCAATTTCAGGAGAAAGGTACTCTGTTTTTTTTTCTGTATATGATTGAAAATTGGAGATAAAAAGAATACTGGCAATTGTTCTTGTTCTTGAAACCAGTGGTCTCTTCACGAGGAGGCAATTTTAGAGCCATTTGTAGTTATATTTTTGTAAAAGATTTCATTGTGTAGGGAAAATTGATTTTAATAGTTTTTATTTTTGGCATACTTTGGTTGTGGCACCCAAAACCAGCTCTGAACCTTTTTTTTTTTGAAATATAGTGGATTTTATTTGTATTCCTGTCTTGTTCTGGTATCCATTTAAATGCTTCAAATTATTTATAGAGTTGGATATTAGGTATCTGACTTACATTTGTTCTTCCGGTTTCCTTAATGCGTTAGATGTTGATATACAAATAAATGGAAATGGAGACAGCAATGTAAAGATATTGACAAATGGAATCGTTCTTTGTTCTTTTTGTAGAGTGTTGAGATATTGACCTGTTTATCCAATTGACAATCTCCTTGAGTAAAAAAAAATTCAACTGACTAGAGAACTGTGGAAGGAAGGAAAAACCTTGAGATTCGCGTGGCAATGAAGATCAGTAGCAAAACGGGCAATTTGTTTGGTCGCAAGTATGTTGCATCGAGATTACACAAAGAGGAGAAGGAAAGTGACTGATGTAGATGGTCTTGACCCCATTTCTGAAGATTCACGCATTCAAGTGATCTGTTTTGCTTCGGATCACTTCATTGCCACGAGAATCTCGAGATTTTGAATGCTCAATGACCTCTTCTTTTCAGTTTTCTATATAGAACACGAAACAGAGATCATTGGGGACATGTTGATTATGTCTGTATTGGGTGCACACTGAACTTTGCTGGTTGTTGATACAACCAGTTTGGGACTTATCAGATGAAGATGCAAAATCAGTGTCTTCTCGGGTGAGTCAATGATGAATGTAACTACCAAATACTACTGTTAGGTTGAATATGATCTATTACTGTTTTCTTTATTACGTGTTTTTACGGTTTGATGTCCTCATTGTGGCAGACTGAAATCACCTCCCCATAACGGATTTGATTATGCGTAGCTTCTCAAACGCAACATGAAAACACCAACATTCCATGTACAAACCACTTGATATTGGTTTATGATAAGGTGTGGTTTCAGTACAATTTATGTGTCTCCATGAATGTTCTTTATTACCTCTTCCAAATGTCGAGACCTTTCGCTCTACTACATCATTCTCGACATAATAGGTTATTCTTTGTCTGTTCGGTTTAGTTTTGGTTGTATAAAAGTAAAATCATATCATATAGTGTGACAATAGTGTGTGTGTACGAAAAGGTTCTTCTTCCTTGCCCTTCACCTAATAGGGTGGGAATAATTATTTTGACTTGATCTATACATTAATCTTGGTCAAAACGCATCGTAGCTGACATGACGTTGACTTTGAATAAAAATAATATATTAGCATATATGCTTAGGTTGAAAGTAGGAACACAATGCAAATCAAAGATTTTACAATCACCAACAAATTAATTCGACCCTATAAAGTATGACTCTTTATTAACCATATAATTTTACAAAAGAACACTAAACATCAACTTAATACACAATGGCTTCACTTTCACTGGTGCGTAGATACGTCTTCGTTTTAAATTTCTTCATACTCTTAAAGTTCGAAGAAACATTTTCTTCAAGATTAGTGAGATCTCCGGCTAAAGTAGCTGAGATTGGAGCCGATGATTATCCATCTACGGGTCGTAATTCACCGGTCCACGACCTCGGTTTCCCCGACTTCCCGTCTTTTCAAGAAGCAATTGTGGCACCACCACCACCTCCGCCTGATCTGCCTCTCCTTCCGACGCCAGCTCCGCTTGATCTGCCTCTCCTTCAGCCGCCACCTCCGCTTGATCTGCCTCTCCTTCCGCCGCCACCACCATCGCCATTTCTCGGTCTTGAGGGACCTCCTAGGGTTCCAGTACCAGTTTGGCCTTCTCTCCCAGCATTCATGCCCTTTCCGTTCATAGATCAGCCCCCTCCTTCCGAACCCTTTGTTCCAAGATTCGACGAGTCCGATAATGTGATGCCTTCTAGTCCAAGTAACCCTCTAGGGTTTCCATAAACACGTGCCACACTCATTGCAACCTCAGTTCCTCAAAAATTGACATTTGAATTTCAAAGTATTAATAATTGGAAAACTTATGTATGATTCAAGTTTTTTTTTGAAACTTAAAATAATAAAACTATGTTACAAGTTGGAATATATTAGATGACTCGTTGGCTCGTACAATATGGTGGATCGGAGTACCAAACCGAGAGCTTGAAAGCTTTGTGTTAACTTGTGATTGATTAGACTATGTCACATGTTTTCTGGCTAAACTGGTTTCGATGAGTGAACGACACATAGTTCTGCGTTTTATGCTGCTTGATTTGTTATATATCCTAGTAGTAGGCTAATACTAAAAGCATCCTCAATGGTTGGAAACTCATAGATTTTCTTATATATTAGGTAAAGTTTATGATAAAATTATTTTATAACCCATTAAAAGTTAAATTTGGAAAAGTAAAAGGCA